TACGAAATGTACAACAGGTTCTCTGTCTCTGATGAAGCTGGAAAATTTCAACTCTTTCTTGCAGGACCTGCCACGGGGACCTTAGGTAAGTGTAATCATGTTTAGTTCTTAAAATTAGGATCAAATAACGTATATCTTCATAATTATTCTAGTCTGTATTGACACATTATAAAGTTCTTGAAAAAAAGAAAGATTTTTTTTCTGATATTCTGTATACGTTTTTGATTCCACGCTAATTAAACATGTTTGTATTTAATATTTCAAAATATCATTTGCAGGTACAATTTTCATATTCAGCAGATATTTAATCTGTTATTGGGAAGTAGATGCAATTTCTAATTATACATTTTATGTACAAGGAAAATTATGTTAATTTTTTTTTTAACAAGCAAATCCAGTAATTACATTTGTTCAATATTGTTATTCAGCTTGGGTTTTTTTAAAATAATTTTTAATAATTCACATTTTAACTTCTACGGAGAAAGAAATTTACAGAGATTAAATGATTTATTATGTTAACACATTAAAAAAAAATGATGTTATAAGAAAATTATTTGTTCGGAAACAGATTCAAATTAAAAAAAAGAAATATAAAAAAACACCGCAACGTGTTTCACATTTACTTTATCTTTTCTCTATGAAATGAGAATCTAGTCTCCTATCTTCAATAATTCACATTTTAAATACTACGGAATAGGAAGTTTGCATAGCGTTATTTATCTTAAATGTCTTAAATTTAAAATTTAAGAGCTATCCTTTGTAATGATTTGAAATTTTATATAGAAGCTGTGGCACGCATAGTCTCAGAATTTCTCCAAACTCTCTATGATAAAAATCATTGATACCATAAACTGAAATCAGGCAAAAAATGGTTGCTATGTTTTATAGTTACCATGGCAACATGTCATAAAGTTCGAAAAATGGCATTTTTTAACATATTTAGAGCTCCATCGTTAACAATTGCAGCAAAGCAAACAATTGGCAATGACTGTTTCCAAAAGTTGAAGGTCAAATGTCTCAAAAATGCATGATAAACATGTTTGGTAAATCAACTATTACGAGGGTCATTCAAAAAGTTCGTAGAATTTTGTCCTAACTTTTTTATTTAACGTCATACTATATCCAAATTTGGTACAAATGTTTAAACAACAGATTCAAATAAATTGAGTAAGAAAATTAGAATGTATCTTCATATTTATTAAAATTACGAAGGATTTAGAACAGCAAAAATGGGGTCACGGATCACGGTCAAAACTGAGTAATTTTCTAATTTTCACTTTTTATTATTTACAACTATACCTTAAATAATTGGAGCTGAAACGAAATAAAATTTACATGTTTAAATAAAGTATTGCTGTAATAATTTAAATGAAATCAGGTTATGTAATATCTCGCTCCATTTAAAAGATATCAGCTTCTAAATACATATAGACTTGATTGAAAAAGGCAAAAAACCATGACGTTGGAGGACGTCATGGAGCAGCAAGTAGCAATAAAATTAGACTTTGCATTCGATAAACTTCTTCTACAAGCTCAAAAAATCCTTTTAAACCAGGATCTGAATGAAAAATCTGTGTATTTGTATTAAATTGAACAATTTTTGAGTGGTAGCGAGTTTGAATCGGACGATGGATCAACTGCAAAGAAACAGGTTAAAGTTAAAAATATTGTTAAAAAGAAGAGTAAGAACGTCATTGAACGTAATGTGTGCTTCAATGTTGCAGAAATAATAGAGTTGCATGGTAAATTAAAGAATTTGAAACAATAACATTCTAATTCAAGCTATATTTGTACAATTGTTAGCAAACTAGGTGTTAAGTGTTGTGGATATGTGTTTTGAATAAATAAAGACGCTTCAAGCCGTTTTTGAAATATTAAAAAAGAGTATACTTTTGACAAACTTTCTCAGCGTTGATTTTGACGTTACTATATTAGTAAACCGTGCTCCGTGGTAACAAAACATTTTGCTTTAAATTTTGGATAACATGAGTTCTGTCTAATCAAATAGAATGAAACTTCACACTTCGACAAAATAAATGTTTATGTTTACGAAAATGTGTTGATCTATAATCTTGTAATAATCATATGACGATGAGAAGCATTGTCTACGTATTTTTTGAATGACCCTCGTACATACGTTACTATGGTAACAAAGTACTCAAAAGTAAAAAAAAAATATTCATTGAATTTTATAAAGTCATACACGTAAAAAAACAATAATCGGATGAAATGTGACCAAATAATAGAAAAAAGAGCCTTGAAACATATACCAAGAACAAAATATGATGTTTCATTTTGGTTGGCAATGGTTGCCAAGGTTTTTTTTTTTTACCTCAGAGAGCCTTCAAAGTAACACTCTTTATGTTTTAATCCATCCTTTCTTTTAAAAAGCACATTTCATCATAACTAAGGATCAATTTTTAAAGTTGTTGGTGTGCTCCTAGTTTTCCCATTTGAAAAAAAAAATCGGATTAGATTCTTCAAATAGAGCGTTGCTATAGAAATAAGCAGAAAATCTATGCTTAAAAACCTGAAAAATATTTTCTTTCCTTGGATACGTATCATTAAATGTAGATTCCCAAAACTTTTATGATTGATATTTATTAACAGCTAACCTGACTTTTAATTTTGACCATCATCCAATCTCTAAGTGGATGTAAAGAAGTTGGCACACAGGGTTTAATATCCATTTAAAGTTCACAAAATCGAACATTTTCCCTTCTTGATAACCATAGCAACAGTGTTGTTTTCTTCATCAAATTTTATCAATACATGATATTCAACTACAGTTCTAACAGATAAATGCTATTCAAGCTGAGTCCTTTAATTTTTTTCTTGATTATATGGCAATTCAATTCTTAATGCAGCAAAAATAATTCACTTTTAAGCACTGGTACTTTGTTTCCATGGTAACACTGCAAAGTAGCAATTATACCCAATTTTTCTTATGGTTTTAGTGTTGCAAGGTCCTACGCTGCATACGAGGGTGAGACAACAGTTGACCCAACCATCCATTGTATTTGCCAGTCTTGAATTTTCATGTTTTGCATCAAGACAGTAGCATTAACCCAATCTTAGTTACTGGTTTTGCATGGTCACTCTCTGCTACCATGGCAACCATAAAATTTATTTATAGCATAATATTGATTATACTTATTTACTTAAGGTCAAACATTTTCATTGTTTTTCTTAAGTCGTTGATTGATTTTGAGCATGTAACACCTACTATTAGTGAGTACGGAGTGTTTTTCAGCATATTTTAGCATTTTAAATGTATTCCAAATGTACCCTTGGTTACCACTTACTTAGAGATATATTCTAAACAGTTTCTTTACAGTATAAGTGACATCTAGGTGTTATGTTTTTTTAAGAATGGTTTGTTTGCTTTTTCTATTTTTTATTAAGCCACAGTCAAGATTTAAAGTGGCTGAAAATCTCGATTTTTCGAACTTTTCCGGCTGTTGCAATAGCAAGGGAGACACTTAGCAACAAAAATTTTGTTTGATATCTGTTTCTGGTGTCAAGTACTAAGCATGGGTGAAGTTTCATCAAAATCGGTGACCATGCGTGGCAACGAAATTTAAGTAGTTACAGAGAATGGCTATTAATGATAAAAAAAAATGATCAGAGATTTTTAAACTAAAAATGTTGAATAATCCATAATAAAAACTCCTCAACGCGTTTCACATTCACAATACGTATGCTTTATTTAATGAACATCTAATATTTTAAAACAGTTGCAGGTACACCATATCTGATAACGTTATAATCATGAATGAGTTCTAATTTGTATTGCATTTCATACAATTTTAAAAGCACGGTCTCTGACATATATGAATATTTCATTTATTCATGTTTTCTTATATTTCCAATGACCTTTAACCCCCCCCCCCCAAAAAAAAAAAAACAAAAACAAAAAAACAACATGCTTTAAAAGTGTAAACGCCTGTGGTTTATTGTTACACTACAAAGGGTGCTATGTGAATTGCGCAGTGTTTTGTTGACTTCTATTTTTTTTTATTTTCTCTGTTAACAGGAAATAATACGTTAAACTGTGTATCTAAGACATACGCCAGCATTAATATTAATGTGAACTAAATTAAAGTTAATAATTCTTATGTTTGTTATATATTTTTAATTCTGCAGGTGCCAGTATGATAAACACCGGGAGTTCAATGGACTGAACTAAATAAATATTATCTTTCCATCGCCTAAAGCTATCTTAGAATTACCGCAGTATTATTTATGACAATTAGATACAAGATATATAAATACCTTATCTCTGTGGTTACTTTTGTGTAATTTTACAGGAGACTCTATGTTATCTACCTCAGTATTATTTATGACAATTAGATACAAGATATATAAATACCTTATCTCTGTGATTACTTTTGTGTTATTTTACAGGAGACTCCATGTTATCTACCTCAGTATTATTTATGACAATTAGATACAAGGTATATAAATACCTTATCTCCGTGATTACTTTTGTGTAATTTTACGGAGACTCCATGTTACTTACAGGTTACCCCAATAACTACGATCTGTCTTGGATATACTAATGATCTAATCTGAAATAGGTGTTCATGTTATATTTTTCTTTGATAATTTTACAGGAGACTCTATGTTAGACACTGGTTATCCCAATAACTTCGACCTGTCTGGGATGTCCTTCACCACCCCAGACAGGGATAACGACAGGTGGAGTTATTATAACTGTGCTGCTGCCAGTAACATTAGAGGAGGCTGGTGGTTCAATGACTGTCACCAGGCCTTCCTTAACGGTCAATGGTCCCCGGGGTCCTGGTCCTACCCATGGTATCCCACAGTAAGGAGTGGGACGTCAGTGAAGGCGACTTCAATGATGATCAGACGGAACTAGGTAAACATAATTACATCTTAATATCCATTTTTTTCTTTTTGTATTATTCTGAAAATTTCAGTTTTTAAAGTTGCTTATTTTGGAAATAGAAAAAAAAATATGCTATTTTACATTTATCTGTAAAGTATTAATTTGTTTTTTTTAACAGACGAAAGATCATCCATGGATTACGGAAAGCCCCAAGAGACGATTTAAAATTAATTTTTATCGCTGAGTTCTTTTTTTTAATATTTAACATCAAGTAACAAACAGTAAAAGAAGGTGGTTGAACGGCTCTGTAAAGCGATACTGGATGTATTCAGTAAAAGATGTATTTTATATGTGTTGTAATAAATTTGAAAATAGAAAAATTTCGTTCTTTTTTCCAAACACTGATAAATGGAGATAACTGGGCGGAGAATTAGGATGAAGATTACTTTATTGTTAAACCTATTACAGTGGAACCTGTTTAATCCGACACATGCAATACTCTTTACTGTGATTTCAGCCATTTAATTTCATTTGTCATTTATACTTATGTCAATGATCTTACACGCTACAATACTTCACGTTGTTTATTCCAACACATATATTGTTTAATGAAAATGTTGCCCGAGGCCGCAGGCCAAGGGCAAGTTTTACCTTAATAAAGATCATATGTTGTCATACCCAGATAAGTGTTTTGTTATAAACTGTTCTTAGGTATATCATTGCTATATTATCAATTATTTTGTGGTACAATACATCTAAAATATAAAACATCAAACTCTAAAAAAAAATCAATTATATATCTATTGTATCACAAAAATTATTTTTAAAAATATACTCTTCCTTCTTCCATTAATATACTTAGCAAAACTCTTTAATTGAAATTTTGCTATTTTTAATATTTCACGATGATTAGTTAAATGTTGAAGTAACAGACGAATGATTTCTTTCTAACAATTCTTATGTATACCGGTGAATATATTTAGATAGCTAATAAACAGTTCTTTTGTGGCAAGAAACGCAAAGATACTAGATATTCCATGATACTAGATTATAAGCTTAAAGTAAAAAAACACCTTGTTTTCCAACACAATATTTCTATTGCTACAAATAGTAATTAATAAAAGAGCTTTCTGCTTTTGAATGCACAAAATACGTAATAGCAGACTTATATCGATACTGTAATTTTTTATTGTGTTTTTTTTTTTTATTTCAAAACACCCTAATACAGATCGGGGATTGAAAGGTTACATTTGTAATACGCGTTTTATTTTGACGTCACAAATCTTAAAAGCAAAATTTGAGATCATTTAAATTCATTATTTAGGTTAGAGATAATTTAAGTAAGTTAGAAAAAAATCAAATTTGCAAAACAAGACAAGGAGTTAGAAAAAAAATGAGCACCGATTCATTATTTTTTGAAAGATGTTATCTTATATTTACAACTGCTTTTGCAAATAAAAAGCAAGCTAACATTAATCAATATGTTTGCTAAAACTTTTGTAATTATGAGACTACATCTTTAAAAAAATGATTCAATGTGTGTGACAAGTCATTCTCCTTTATGCAATGAGTATACATGGCTTATATACTAGTATATCCAAAACATTTGATAGACTACAACTTGAAATTTGTTATTAAATCAGTAGGAAAAATTTTAGGAGCTAATGATAAAAATTCAAGATAAGTTTGTGAAACAAAGAGGCTTATGATAAATGCTGTCTTTTGCAGGTCAAACATCAAGGTCAATATAAAAGTAGTTTTGGTACCAAAAGAAACGTTCCTCACAATAAGTCTACCTTCTAAAATAAAACCCGTAAAAGCAGCAACAGTTCAGTAATTATGACCAAAGTTAGAGACTTTCAAAAGTAGGTCAAACTGGACAAGGTCAAGGAGTCAATATCAATGATACCCGAAAGAATTTCAGAAAGAATACACAGGGGAAATATTAAAGTCACGAAATCAACCATTCAAAAGTTATTACCAAAGTTTTTCAAAAGAGGTCAAAGTCTGATGTCCAAATAAAAGGATAAATAATAAAAAGAAAATATTGGTATACAACAGAAGCTCTTACCACAAGAAATGAACCGGTAAAATAGTTAACCCCTAGCACTAAATATTCAGTAAATACGTCCAAAGTTAACGTTTTTGAAAAGTAGGTCAAATCCATAAGATCAAGGTTAAAGGTCATTACTGTTTGTACTCAGGAGAAGGTCTAATCAAAATATATGCGTGAGGAGTATGATATCACTTGATGTAACTGTGTAGTAGCTATGGCTAAGAATAAAAACGAAACAATAAAATGTACTGTCTGTCTTTATGTACATGCTATTCATAGTTTATTTAAAACATGATGATAAATCTAGATCTCTTCCGAGGAGACGAATATACAATCCGAAGAAGATATAATTCGTCTTCCGAGGAGAGGAATATACGATCCGAGGATCATCAAGATGACTTCCGAGGAGACGAATATACGATCCGACATTAATAATACTCATTAATGATTAGAACTTTATACACCATACATAATGAAATTATATAACAAAAAAAAAATGGTTGCAAATGTTTATTTTAATTCAAAGAGAATGAATCATTATGTAACAGAACACTCTTCATGCTCCAAATGAAATGGAGAATCCTTATACAAAGAAAAGGGAAGTTTTAGTCCGTCTTCTCCCGTATAGAGACGTGTAATTCTCTCCGTCACCCAGCGCCACCTGCCGTCGTTATGACAAGTCAAAAGGAGGCGCAAAGATTGGGTCAACTGCTTTTGCTTTATCGTTAGGATTCCAGTTCTGATACGTCTCTACTGGTGTCCAATTATCAAAAATGAGTTTTTCATTGTCGTCAAATGTCAAAACATTGGCACGAAATGCAAATGAACCGTTGAGATCAACTTCTGCAGAAAAGGACAAGAAAAAAATTATATCATCTTCAAATTTGAAACACCACCGATACAATATGAGTTGTTGCTTTACATCCTGAATGCTCTAAAAATTATACAATTTGATCCGCTGTATCCAAATTCAGTAGACATTTGAATGGAAAGTATATTTTTGCGTCGTGGTACGTGTAACAATATAATATTTTCTAACGAGCATAAGCAAACTTAAGCCGAACTTTATTTCAGTTTGAATAACAAAGGACTATAATGTTTTGAGTGAAATTAGAAATAAACAATTTTAATAAACTGCAGAAATATATTTTCCAGATTTAATGTGCAGCTTTTTTATTTAGACTTTAAAATCAGATTTGTAGAAAGCAAAAATTAAAAAAAAATAAAATAACGATATAACTTTTTATCAAAGGTGTTTAAATATGATGTACATAATTTTTTATGAAAGAGTATCAATTTTTTGATCAAATACAAATTAGAGAAATTTGACAAAAATATTTTTTTTGTTATTGTAGGCGTGTGATAAAAATGAAAGCATGTTATGAATTAGTTGTTTACATATATAGCCAGGTTTATGGGGTTTACACCTTAGAACCTCCTAAGAAACAACAGCATACAATAACAAGATGTGTTTGTGAAACACTGATGCCACTATGTGGCAACATGGTGAAGGTTAAGCTTTCTCAAATGCAGATCAAATACGTACCTAAAGTACATGTAAGGCCTTTCCATAAAATAAACATCTGACATAGAAAACCCTTGCACCACCCTTGGATACTGCCAAGGTAAGCGTTTTTAATAGTAGGTCAAAAACCAAGGTCAAAGTCAAGGTGTTAAAAGTGTTTATATCCAATGAAAGGTTTTCTCACAATGACTACATAAGTGAAGTTTGAAAGACCTAAACCTTGCAATTCAAAAGTTATGGCCAAAGTGAAAGTTTTCTTGTTAATACGGAAATATCTAAAGTCAAAATGTCAAAACTAGTAGTTTCAACGGAAAGCTCTTGTCACAAAGAATTGATATTTAGAATATGATATTCCTAGTAGCTATTGTTCAAGAATTAGGTCCAAAGTAAAAGTTTGGATTTTTTGTGTAAAAATATGTCAAACTCCAAGGTCAAAGGGTCAAGGTTTTTAATATTAAATAAAAGGTCTCGTCCTTACCGTTCAAACGTTATGGCCAAGCTTAAACAAGTACTAAAATCTCCAAGGTCAAAGTTGTTGGTATCCAATGAAATGTTTCTTAACAAAGAAATATATATGTGAATTATATGTAAATTGTAACTATCTTGGTATCCACTGTTGCAATGATATGGCAAAAGTAAAAGTTTGGAATTTTTGTGTAAAACTAGATCAAACTCATAGGTCAAGGTCAAAATGTCAATTGATTTGGTACCCTAAGAAAGGTCTTGTCACAAAGAATACACGTGTGATATATAATAGTCATAGCTCCACTAAATCGAAAGCTATGGACATTATTAAAGTTTTTGCGCACAAACGGACAAACAGACAGAGAGACACACAAAGAGAGAGAGACAGACAGACAGAGAGACAGACAGACAGACAGACAGACAGAGGGACAGACACGACAAACACTATAAATGTTACATACAAATGATGTTTTAATGATCACATTGTATATGACCAAGTTATGTGATAAGTAGATTGTTTAAATACCCGGATGGAAACATTTAACTATAAAATGTGTTGTTTCATTACCCGGATGTATGCGGTTTACGCCTAAAAACCTCCCATATCCGTCACCATACCAGACTAGAAGCTCTTCATCCGGCTCTACGTCACGTGACGTCATATAGAAGATGATGCCCTCGCACGTGATAGGAACAACATTTTCCTGTTGATATTTTGCGGGAGAATTAACAAATCGTAACCAGTTACTACAGGCCGGATCTTCTGCATCTATGTTGTAAGTACCATTAGTCCCCTGTTTATCTACCTTTGAAAACAAAAAGATCCTAATGGTTAAGAATGAATTTCAGTTCAGAATATGTTGTATATATTATACTTGATGCAATCAGATCCATGTTGATCAAAAAAACTTTAAGGTAATGAATATTTAGGGATTAAATGAATCTAAAAAAATATAGTGTTGTGAGAGTGTTACATTACCAATACTAGTCCCCTACCGTGTAATCTGGTTTCCTCTAAAATTGAAATTTTTATCAGAAATCACTGAAGAGGATCAAAAATAAGAATTTATCTATAACTCATCAAAGTCAAGCAACATACACAGAAGCTAGTCAAACGGATAAACAGACGGACAGGGAGGAACGAAAGCAGAGGAAATTTTAGTCCATCTGTTTTCAACAACAGGGAACTAGAAATATGTAATTAAAATATGCAACTGCGATTCGTTTTCATTTAGTTTGATTGTTTGTGTGATTTTACCTGCCATGAATAGAAATCATCCTTCTTGTCTACAGTGTGAATAAGTTCTTCATAAACACCGAGGATCG